CTCCACCACTGTCAGAAATCTGACGAGAAGAAAGGAGGAGAAATGAGGACTCCACTTACACACGGCGTCTGTAAAAAGCAAAGGCAACTGCATCCTTCACCCCTGAGTCTTTTTCTTTCTGGGCTGGATGAAGGTGCTGAGGCAGTGAAGTTGCTCCATGCTTACCCTTTCATGGCCTGTTTCCAGGATACCTGACCCACACTGCCATTAGCTGGGCAGAAGGCAAGCAGGAAGCATCTGGCACATCTGCTTTTTACAGGGGTCTTGTGTAAACAGAATCCTCCCTGCTTCCCCCATCAAATTTCTGACAGTAGTGGAGTACTGCGTGACTATCTTCTAGTCCACAAAGGCAGAGGTGGGCAGCTGGCAGCAAAAAGCTCCAGGTTTTGAGATAAGGGAAACTCAACCTGTACTCTATTGTGTACATGTCCTGTGTTCTATTTGCACTTGGAAGACTTCTTTCCCCACTGCGTAGAACAGAGGTGGGGAGAGTGTGCACTCGAGGTATGATTCTCCAACTGTAGCCGAAATACCCCTTTCCCCACAGCTGAATTTTTGTTTTATTGACTTTTTTTTAACAGTTAGCTAAGTTACTATAACTGGGAAAAAAGTAGAAGTCCCTTTAAAGAACAGGCCTGAATCCAGTTAACATTTTGATTCTACTTGAAGAGGGACAGGAGGACCCCTTTATTAGGCAAGGGCTCAGTCCAGGATATCTGAAAAAGAATTCAGAAGTGAGACACAGGTTTTCCATTTCAGAAACAACGCTCATAACTTTAAAAATCATTAAGAGGATACCTGCCTAACTTTTCATTTGCAACTGTGATACAAAGATGTTTTTAAAAATACAGCATAGCTTCAATAAGCATATTCTTTTGCATTCCTAACAGAATAAGAAATGCATGGTCAAAAGAGTAGCCATTTACTTGGGCTGGGAGCAAATTTTAGCACATGGCTTAGAGCAGTTTCTTAAACTGCGCTCCTCCAGATGTTTTGGACTTCAGCTCCCACAACTCCTAACAATTGGTATTCTGGCTGTGATTTCTGGGAGCTGAAGTCCAAAACACCTGGAAGAGCACAGTTTGGGTAACATTGGCTTAGAGAAACTAAGTTGTGGATTTCCAATTGAACTCAAATAAATTTTAGTCAATCTGTTATTTTAGATTCTGTCTGAAATGTAGGAATAATACCTACCTTAAATAACTGTTTTAGATACTACAACAGTCATGTGAAAGTGCTTTCAACACTACAATATGACAATCTCCATCAGAATAATTTGTAGTGTGGACAATGACATTGTTTTTTGCTGTGCCTCTGAACATACAGGTCATCATGACCTTCATCTTGTATATCAATAACTACTTCATTCTTATCCAGTTGGAGTACTGTGGAAGACCAGCCACCTAGAACTCCTTACTAGAACTACTTATGTCCTCTTTGCTCTACAACAGTGGTTCCCAACCTTTGGTCCTCCAGGTGTTTTGGACTTCAACTCCCAGAAATCCTAGCCAGCTTACCAACTGTTAGGAATCATGGGAGCTGAAGTCCAAAACACCTGGAGGACCAAAGGTTGGGAACCACTGCTCTATAGCTTCTCTTCTCCACCCAGCTCCAAGAGCCAACACATTTCTATGATACGCTGGAAAAAGCTGACAAAGTCTGAAGCAATACAAACAATTGGTATATTCAAAATGTACCACAATTAGTTCATTTCTGATATTCTCCTTCCTGGTCCAATGGCTAGCAGAAAGTTCTGAAGTAACCAGCAGTCACTTGGGATTGTCAGATGTGTGTCCCCAGAAAGAGACCAACAAGTACAGAAATTGAAGGATAAGGACCAGGTGGAGGAAAACATGTTTCCTGTTCATTTTTCCCACTGACAGTTTGCATCTAGGACAGATGGTGTCTATTTCAGTAGAGGCCTCCAACCCATTTTTTTCTGGCAGTACCAGTAAAGTATGGAAACAGTCAGATGGGGGGTTTTCTTCCTATTTCCAATTATATCGATGTATCTATCTGGTTAGAAAGAAGCACCATTTAAGAGACACTTCCTCCTGCCTCAAAACACATATGAGCAGTAGTTCACGTCATATTACGAAAGAATAGGTTCCCCCATCATGTTTATATTGAAGTGAATATAAATGTACAGAGAAGGAGCTGTGAATCTTAACTAGCATGCAAGATAGCCACATGTGTTTGACTCACTGTTAAGACCACAGAGAATGTGTTTCTTGGCTTGGAACCATTTAGGGCTTTTGTAATACAGTTATCCAATATGCCATTCTGAAAGATTTCAGAAGTAACTTTTAAAAACATTTCACGTTCTGAATTCTTTGCCTCCCCAGGGATATGATGAACTTTGATTACTGGTACTTGCTTATTGCAGAGACCATGCAATTTCAGTGTACTGGATCAGTGCTTCTCAACTTGTGAGTCCCCAGATGTTTTAGCCTTCAACTCCCAGAAATCTTAACAGCTGGTAGACTGGCTGAGATTTCTGGGAGTTGTAGGCCAAAACCCGGGGACCCACAGGTTGACAACCACTGTACTAGAGTACGAAGTCAGCATGGTGTAGTAATTGTAGTAATTGACTAGCACTCTGGGATACCAGGGTTCAAATTCCCATTCAGTTATGGAAACCCACTGGATGATTTTGAGCAAGTCATGCTTCCTCAGCCTCTGAAAAATGCAATGGTAAGCCTCCTCTCCCTTCTCTTGTCATGACAGCCTAGTGAGAAGGTCATCATGGGTTGGAGTTGATTTGAAGGCACGTAACAACAAAATGCCAAATCAATGTGATGAAAACAGCCTTACTCAGGTATGATCAACCCTATTTATCAATTTGGTTTAAGATAATGTGTCTATGGACACACAAGACATTCCATTGATTTATCTACATGTCTTTCCCCCACATCTTCCTTTGAGAATTGTACTCGATATAAGAAGATTTAGGCATAAGAATTCCAAAGTGAACTTGTAATTCCATCCCAAAACCAACTGCTACTTTCTTACTTTTTCATCAGCAAAGTCGTTTATTTGCATGCAAAATCTTTCCTGTTCTAAATGTTGGCCAGTTGTTTCTTTTATATGCCGTATAAACAGAACTACACTTCCAGTGTCATGATAAATATTTATTTACAAATTTCTCCATAGTCTAGTTATATGATTAAAGACAAAACATACATTTCTTTCCCCTCACACAAACAAATTAAAATACAGAACAAAAAAGAAACTCGAACAAATAATGATAAAACATGGTTTACACACACTTATGTTACAACTTTAACATAACCATACAACGAGATACATAAATGTCTTAAGAATCCCAAGACAATTAAAGACAGCCTTGTACCCTGAGGAAGTTTGCTCCAAGCAAAATTTAGATCCATTTTCCAGAGAGGTCTGACAGTCTGCGTCGATACATTTTCAGAACTAGGTCCCTGAGTGGTGCCAGCCAATAGGTCAGAGACAGCAATACAGTTGCAAAAAGATGAGAGCCAGACAATTAAGGCATACAACTAAACTTTAATTCTCAAGAAATTGTAAAGTATTTTTTAAAAAGGTATTTAAAAGCCCACTAAAAAGCAACCCAAACCCCACGTTTAAAAGCTTATCTGGCTAGAGAAGATCTGGCATAGAATAGAAAGTACATCTAAATCTAGCAATCCAAAAACCTAGTAAGAGAGAGAGAGAGAGAGAGAGAGAGAGAGAGAGGCATCCTTTGCAGAAAGTAAACAAATGCCAAGGGACCAGAGAACAAGTAAGAGCCTGGAGGCCCTAGTCACCTCTTGTTTACAATTCTGCCAACAGAGTTTTACAACAAGGTTTATGGAAACCTGCCAAAATGACTGTTTGTTTCTTATACTTAACGCTCACTCAAGCTTATCATTGCTTCCTAGTCCAAAAATATTGGAAATCAATTGAGAAAGAGAATCCTAACCGATCTTTCCTTAATTATCCGGTGCTCATCTTTTCACAACTGTATTTTCCTCTGTATTCCGCCAGCAAACAAGATGAAGCAAAGCAGCTGTCACCTCTGATGTAAGACACTATATGTTTTGATGGCAATTAAACTCAGCAAAGCTGAGAGCAAAGGAGTGGGGAAGGCCAAATGCTCAGATCTGACTGTGCTTGGAAATTCTGAAATATTTTTGCCAAGCCTATCATAATCATCACTGAACCTCCGATGCTTTCATTCCATTCCCCACAAATGCTACTAGCACATTTGCTTTGAACAGAATTAATGAATGAACGAATGAATGGAACTGAGCAAGCATTCAGACACAAACAAAAAGCAACATATTGGGCAAAAATACCTCATTTTCAATATTTAAGAATAAGATCACTATATGCAGAACATTTAAGTGCCAATTATAGATCAATTTTAAACCAGGTTTAAATTAGTAAACTAAATGTAACCATATTGACTTCTCCCTTCACTGAAACCTGAGAAACAAGGTATTTGTTACATGTAACTGAGGATCTATTGTCCTCTTCTGCATGTAAAAACATCAGAACAAATAAAGCAGACATACATATTCCAAGTTTATGCACCATAGCTTTAAGTTTTTAAGGTTTTTTTTGTTTAAAATATATATTAAAATATCTGTCTAACATTAGCACAGAATTAATTCAGATAATGCTAAGGGGATCAAGTAACTGGAAACTAAAATGCAGTAAGAGATGCACATTAAAAAAACATGAAGAAACAAGACACTGGTATTGATTTCAATGAGACAAATTTAAAATGAGTTCAAAACATGCACTGTTAAGAATTCATGTATTTCGTTTGCAATGTAGTCACATTTTTTAAAAACTCATTTAATATTTCACCATCCCAATGCTGGCCTACAAGATGCCCAGATTAACGGCTGTTTCGCGACTGTTCAAACAGAAAAATGGAAGCATTCCCAAGTCTATTTTGCAGAGACCAAGACAGGCTTTGTCCAGAGCACCAAAAAAAAAAAAAGAGTCTCTCTCAACATCTGTCAAAATCCTACCTGTGCTTTTTGATGCCATTTGATAGAGGCTCTCCACTTTTATTGGGCTTTTTTTGAGACATATCAGATGTTATAGTATTGCTGGAATCCACGCTGTCGTCTAATGAGTTCGATGTCACCGTTTCAAATCCACTCAATGATTTTTCGGATTCTGAATCTGCAAGACAGGTGATCACCAATGAAGCAAACTCCACGGCTAGTCTTTCAGAGGCGAATGGACACCTCCCTCAGAAGGAGTACGGAAATTTGAGTAGACTCCCTATGTTGTCATGATGACAGCATTTGTCCAGTGACAACTTAGTAGCTGTGGAGACTGAGTCCCTGGCAGAACATGGGTGAGCAAATTGTTCAGCACTGAGGAGGATAAGTTGACGGTGAATGTCAGTTGGAGCAGTCAGGTATGAATTACTAACAAAATATTTCTCCCAAACATTGGGCTTCTGCAAATGCAACATGTCCTGTCCCTCAAACAGAAGCAATGAAATATACCATATATAATCATGTATAAGTCTGTATTATGTATAAATCGAGGGCAGGCTTTGGGGCCAAAATTATGGGTTTTGATAGGACTTGTGGATGTCAAGGGTTATTCCCCACCACCATAGCATCCGTTCCTGTCAGCAAAGACCACCAGCACTGAAACCATACTCCTACACCATCTACTCCACTGGACCAGCTACATTGTTCGAATGTCCGATCACCATCTCCCAAAGCAATTACTATACTCCCAACTCAAGAACGGGAAATGTAATGTTGGTGGACAGGAAAAGAGATTTAAAGATGAGCTTAAAGCCAACCTTAAAAGCTGTGGCATTGACAGAGAACTGAGAAACCCTGGATCTTGAGCACTCTAACTGGAAGTCAGCTGTGACCTGCAGTGCTGCAGAATTCAAAGAGGAACGACTGGAAGGCTAAAGGAAGAAATGTGTCAAGGGAAAGGTGTGTCAAACCAACCCTGACCAGGATGGCCTTCCATTCACTGTGGGGGAGCATGCGGATTAAGAATAGGGCTCCACAGCCACCTATGGACCCACCACCAAGACACTACACTTGGAGGACCATCATCCTCGAGCTACGAGGGATTGCCTAAGTAAGTCTTGTGGCATTCAAAAACACCAGAATTGGCAGCATGGCAGAGAGAGTATGGAAGGGTGGTGTTTCCCTTAGGTTTTCCTGGGATAGACTAAGCTCCCACCTTTTGCTCCTCTATTCAGTGAAGGGTATCATTTCTTTTTGTGTGTGTTAGGAATGAAGGTACAAATAATGACACTGATCCATGAATACGTTAACCAAAGTATTCAGGGTCATTTTTTGTCTTTAACTTCTAGACTTATACATGAGGATATACAATAAACAGACCACGACGTAGTGTATTTATTCCCCTCTTAAATCATTAAATTCCACTGCCCTTAACTACAGTTAGAGGTTATGCCAACAGCACCATGACCCGCTGTTGACACGAACTAGATTTTGTCTTAGGCAGGATTAAAAACCTCTTTGGGATCAAGTTGCAAGATAAAAGTATCCGATTTCATACAGTCTGGGGTAGAGCTGTTCCTTTTTTTCTCATCTTTCATTTGTGACATTTCACATAACAAGTCAGTCCTGTGTTACTAGTAGAACATCCAGACAGACATCTCCCAGTTTAAAAAGTCTTTTAATACATGCCCGTCACCCTTTTCAAAATAATTTGCTCCAACAAGAAAGAACAATAACACAGCTTAATAGGTTGAATATACTCACCAAGAACAAATCCAGTCGAACGATTAAAGTCATGTTTTCCACATCAAAGGATGTGATATAAAAACCAACACACTGCTCAGTTCTGAGGATGTTCAAAGCAGCTGCAAAGTGGTCCATGTGTTAGAGCCACAGAATCCATGAAGAATTCCCACTGCTGCATTGTCGAAGGCTTTCATGGCTGGAGTCTCTGGGTTGCTGTAAGTTTTTCAGTCTGTATGGCCATGTTCCAGAAGCATTCTCTCCTGATGTTTTGCCTGAATCTATGGCAGCCATCCTCAGAGATTGTGAGGACCTCACAACCTGTGAGGATGCCTGCCATAGATGCAGGCGAAACATCAGGAGAGAATGCTTCTGGAACATGGCCATATAGCCCGAAAAACTTACAGCAACCCAATTGCTACTGCTATTTCATTATCCACATAACAGTGGTTAAATAAATATCTTTAGGCACATTTTTTAATTATTGATGTTGTGTAGTACATCTTTTAAATCCTAGCCATGGGAATCAATGCTCCAGATATGTACTGCTTAGTTATATATAAATTAGCAAAAATGGACATTTGTAATACTATTACCTGACACTTCATTATTACTCTCTGGAACTATAAGGTCTGATCCATGACCTTCTGAACACAAACTAGGTAAAATAGATATCCAATTTAGGGCTGTTTAAATTCCACACTGAAGAGACAGAACTACTGGTAACTATATTTAGATACTTGTCTGGATTTTATTACACATGAGAAGTAGGGAACTCAAGCCTTACCATAACAACCATCCTTAGACTGCTATGCTTTCCCTCCCTACTTATGAGATCATACCCAAGAAAGCACATTCTATCTTCTAGTGTCATGGAAAATCCAGTTTATTAACTTCCTCTTTTAATAGTGACAAAAGTAGAAAAGGAGCAAAGGAGAAGTCACATAGGTCTCTTTTGTGATATATATACAGCTCGTACTATAAAAATATCCAATCAGAACAGAATATAAGCACAGGAGACGGCAGAATTTTGAGAGCTTGAGAACACTGTTTTCAGCAATTACTATGATTCTAAAACTGCCACCATGATTCAGAAGTCACAAATAATGCACATTCTTTATTCAAGATGTTTTATAACCTTCCTTTTGCCTTCTAATGCTACTTTAGTGTTTGAGCTCAGTGGTTTAACCTGCTGCTCCAGTGGGGGGCCCAATTATAAACTCCTAGCTTATTTCCCTGCAAGCATTTGTGGTGAGAATTTCAACACTAGCTAGCCTAATAGCAAGATTAATGAGTTAGGAGCCTAGATGCATATTCTCCAAAGGGGAGTACAGATAGTACAGATTTTTAAGTTTCTAGGATAGCCTTAGATATAATTTTAAACAACAAATGCTTCTCTTGGGCTATACGTGTTACATGTGTATACATCCTAATACTTATCCTAATGAAATCAATATCTGACAAACCTTAATTTTTCCCCAAACAAAAGGCTTCCAAAGTTTTGCCACATTCTGAGAAACATTAAGATATTTTTTTTCTGAAAAAAAGAGACACCTGCATGTTGAGGGATGTAGTCTTAAAGAAAGCCGGAAACTATCGGGCCATAGTCAACTTTGTAGCATTTTCCCAACATCTGGTGAGAAGTGGCAATAACTTAAGAGAAACACAACAGGTCCTCAAGCCAAGGCTGGCCAAACCAGTCACTCTCTAAATCACTTCTTTATCTCTAAACATGACCACAGTTTTTTATAACTTTATGATAAATGGGAACAACATGTCAAATCATTTGCTCAGAAAAGCTTCCAAAAGCTCGGGATTATTCTTTTTGCTTATTCAATCTGCATTCAGATTCCTAACCTCATTGAACCCATGCCTTTCTTCCTGTTACTCTCCCACAAAAGGGAATCTGATCGAGAGGCCTGGTTCTTGTTTGCAAGTCCTGCTTATTGTTTCCAGGTTCTCTCTTTTGCATATTAGCCATGGCCTGGGACAGCTATTTGTCCATTCTAAGGTAACTCTGAAACTGTAGCCAGCTGCATGGTTTCAGTAGCAGTCACGGTATTTGCAGCGCAGGTAGTTTGTTATAGTGCCTTTCTCCTTTCATCTGATACATTAGTCTAATTAAATTTGAACAAATAAATTTTGGTAATACAAGCTTATAAATGCTTGTGATATTTCATATTTTGTGTTTTACTGTCAGCACCGAAGTTCCTACTGGTGTTCTTTAATATCTTTAGGGCCTGTACAAAGCCAAGTTTGTCTCAAGGTGCACATAATAAAATAGGACAAAAAGGAACTGAGTCCAAAGGTAAGCGCAGCTCTTACAGGAGTCAAGTTCTGCTATGAATAAGGTTCACATACTTCAGGTCTCAGAAAACTCACTTTTTTGCACTGCAGGTATCTCAAATCTCATAACTAGCACAGCCAATGGAGATGCAAATGCATATACGAGGGTTGAATGAAAAGTAATGCCTCCATCTTTGTAATTCCTTAACAGATAGCAGTACTGGTATGTGGCAGATACTGGCTTGTTCAATAGACTCTCCTCTACAGTTCCATTTTGGCAGGAAGCCTTAGCATTGAACAATTGTGTTGTTAAAGTGCGAAGTATGGAATCTGCATAGACGGTCGGTCAATGCAACTTAACATGCAGTCATTGAATTCTTGACAGCAGAAGGTGTTACCCCAAATGAGATTCATCAGAGAATGCAAGCTGTTTATGGTGATTGTYTTGATGTGAGTACTGTGCATCGTTGGGCGAGTTTCAGGCGTCAGCATCCTGGGTACCCATCYTGCACAGATCTTCCAATAACCAAGCAAAGCAATAATYTGACCCACACGTTCTTGCGAAATGCCGATTATGCTTGAAATTTCTCTCTGAGTGATACGATGATRATCCTGAATCAATCTGCCAACCTTTTGAAATTCGGTGGTTGRTGTCACAGGACCCCCAATTCTTTGTCACGCAAGTTAGATGTTCCCACCTCAACATCTTTAAACTTTCTCGCCCAACGACGCACAGTACACAAATCAACAAAATCACCATAAACAGCTTGCATTCTCTGATGAATCTCCTTTGGGGTGATACCTTCTGCTGTCAAGAATTCAATGACTGCACATTGCTTAAGTCGCATTGACCGACCCTCTGTATAGGGTTCCGTACTTTGCACTTTAACAACACAACCATTCAATCTAAGGTTTCCAGCCAAAATGGGACTGTATTTTATATTTTTGATACTGACTGTAAACCGCCCTGAGTCACCTGCGGGCTGAACAAGCCTGTACCTGCCATATGACAGCACTGCCATCTGTTGAAGAGTTACGAAGGTGGAGACATTACTTTTCATTCAACCCTCGTATATTGAGAGTTCACTGGGAGCAAGGTGGTATTCTTTGCTGTTGTTGGTGCAATTGTTAAATTATACCATCACAACATGACCCTGGACATATAAAGAAACTCACCTCTTGACAGTGATTTAGTTTACTGAGAAAACCACTTACCTGAAACAGCATCATAGAACTGTTCCTCGCTCAGGATGCTCAGAGGTGGTGACCCTTTGACTAGTGACTGCTCTAATTCATGGTGTTCGGTGGCTAATGTTTCTAGAGCTTCAGATAAGATCTTGTTTTTCTCTTGCTCATGCTCCAGTTTCAGATTCCTCACCTATAAGTAGAAACATGTATGAATACAGTCTCCTCTCTCCCAAGAAAGGGAGACTGAGCTATTTCAAGAATAGGCTCCAATTTGCAACTGAGCAATGCCAATATGTTCCTAGAATTATATTAAATCCTGCACTTGCCTTATGGCAAGATTTTGGAGTGTTACAGAACAAGAAGGCATGAGGAAAAGGCCTTGTATAACCCCAAACCGGTAACTGATATCAAGGCATTATAAAAGGCAACATCCATTTACAAGGAGACAATTTATTTCTCTTTTTTATACCTCACAGGTCTGCTAATGTAAATATAAAGTAACATCACATTTAAATTAGTTTATGCAAGATAGATTACCCGGAAGGACCTTGAAGATCACCATGTTCATTCTGACATGAATGTCAGTAGCTAGCATCCCATGGAAAACCGTTTATCTTATGCCTGAACACAGCAAAGACATGAAGCTGGAAAGACACATGCAGCTGGAAAGACACCCAACATTTCTAGTTTACGAACATATCCAAGCTTTGTCAAAGTGTAGAGCAGTGTTTCTCAACCTTCCTAATGCCACAACCCCTTATGTTGTGGTGACCTCCAATCATAAAATTATTTTCTTTGCTACCTCATAACTTTAATTTTGCTACTGTTATGAATCATAATGTAAATATCTGATATGCAGAATTTATTTTCATTCACTGGACCAAATTTGACACAAATACCCCATACACCCAAATTTGAATACTTGTGGGGGTTGGGGAGTTGATTTTGTTAAGTGGGACTTGTAGTTGCTGGGATTTATAGTTCACCTACAATCAAAGAGCATTCTGAACTCCACCAACAACGGAATTGAACCAAACTTGCCACAAAGAACTCCCATGACCAATGGAAAATACTAGAAGGGTTTTGTGGGCATTGAAGTTGAGTTTTGGAGTTGTAGTTCACCTACGTTCAGAGAGCACTGTGGACTCAAGCAATGATGGATCTGGAGCAAACTTGGCATACTCAATATGCCCAAATGTGAACACTGTGGAGTTTGGGGGAAATAGACCTTGACATTTGGGATTTATAGTTCACTTACAATCAAAAAGCATTCTGAACTCTACCAACAATAGAATTGGGCCAAACGTCACTCACACAACCCCCATGACCATCAGAAAATACTGTTTTCTGATGGTCTTTGGTGACCCCTCTGGCACCCCTTCATGACCCCTCCAGGGGTCCCGGCCCCCAAGTTGAGAAATGCTGGTGAAGAGAAATTTTTACAAGCCTCAGGTTAGATTATGGAAAATCTCATAAATGTATTTCTAACTTCAGATTGTATCACATTCCCATTCAGTTTTGAACTTTGAACTGAGCCCTCTGAATACCACAGGTGCTTTCTTTCTGCTCTATTAGGACCGAAATATCTTATTGCAAGAATGTGTAGCCACTATCAACCATAGCATGGTATTTTCCAGCTTGATCAATATAATGAAAATACTTGGAAACATTACTTTTTGGCAAACTTATGCTTCTTGTGGAATATTTGGGACATTTCAGTCCAAAAATAGCCCTTTCAGACTCCGCTGCAACATACTTTACTGTCTTTGCACAGGTGCAAAAACCATTTGTGTTAGGCACAGAAACTGTGAAGAAGAATAGCATTTCTAAACTTGTTGCAATGCACTTCATTTAGGATAATAACTGAAGATCCATCCATTTCTCTATATGCAGCTGGCTGGGCATGGGCAGCCAGAAGACAACTCTGCCACTAAGAGAATATGCTCCAAGAGCGGGCCGTTACTGGTTCAATCCCCCTAAATGAGTACTGTAGGGCATCTCTGCAATACTTTCTTGTGTATGAATCAACTAACGTGGTGTCGCTTATGGTAATGGCTGTGCTTCAAATTTGTTTATGTACAAATTCAAACATTCACATTCTTTGTGGTAGCAGAGCAAGACCTCTGTGGAAAACATCCTGCAATTTCATTGACACCCAGGGAAAAATAGTATTTCTAGGCATTTTCTAGGTCATCTAGGGTTTTTTTTTCATGTCAGGAGTGACTTGAGAAACTGCAAGTTGCTTCAAGTTGTTTCTGGTGTGAGAAAATTGGCCGTTTGCAAGGATGTTGCCCAGGGGATGCCCGGATTTTTTTTTTATGTTTTACTATTGTCTCCGCATGGAGAGTTGGAGCTGACAGAGGGAGCTTATCCGCGCTCTCCCCGGATTCAAACCTCCGACCTCTTGGTCTTCATTCTTGTCAGCACAAGGGTTTAACCCATTGCACCACCGGGGGCTCCTGGTCACCTAGGTGATTCTGTGGTATACTTCACCTGGAAATTACCATTTAATTGGTGCTGGAGGACCTAAGAATTCCAAGTGGACACCTCTCATAGAATCATAGAGTTGGAAGAGACCTCATGGGCCATCCAGTCTAACCCCCTGCCAGGAAGCAGGAAAATTGCATTCAAAGCACCTCTCAAGGAATCTCCAAGTTCCCCAATACAATTCTATAATAGGCTGAGACCAGAAGTCAAGTAGTTTACTTGTTTGTATCTGTAATTTCACTTGTTTGTATCTGTAATTTCACATAATCACATTCCAGCCAGGCTCATATTCCTCGTGGATATTGGGGTCTTAATAATAATAATAACAAAAACAATAACAACAACAACAACAACAGTATCTTCATTTGTATCACCATCTCCCCAAAGAGACTTGGGGCAGCTCACAGAAGCCACACGCAGACAACAATACATAAGCACAAACACAATGGCACAAGTACAATCAACAGCATAAAAATCTCATCAATAAAATCACAAAATTTTGAAAACCACAAAATTCCTTGATTCGTGTTCCTTGAAAGTGTTCTTGCCATACATCAAGGAAACCACTGACCACATAGGGAAGCTGATGAGGAAACACAACAAACTATCTACACACCCACCAAGAAAATCCAACAAATGCTATGTTCAGCAAAGGACAAGAGGAATCCTCTCACTTCTGCAGGAGTCTACCATGTACCATGCAGCTGTGGACAAGTCTACATAGGGACCACCAAACGTAGCATTGCCCAAACATGAATCAGGGAACAGGAAAGGCACTGCAGACTACTTCAACCAGAGAAGTCAGCCATAGCAGAGCACTTGATGAACCAACCTGGACACAGCATATTATTTGAGAACACAGAAATGCTGGACCACTCCAACAACCACCATGTCAGACTACACAGAGAAGCCACTGAAATCCATAGCATGTGGACAATTTCAACAGAAAGGAGGAAACCATGAAAATGAACAAAATCTGGCTACCAGTATTAAAAAACTCTAAAATTATAACAGCAAAAAAAACAGAGAGGAAACAGTCAGAGACAGCTAATCACCTCTCTGCAAAAGATTCCCCCAGGCACTAACAAGCCACACCAAAAACTGCCAGGCCATCAAATGCTGATCAGTTGAAACATTCACACTTAGCTCCAGCAGATGAGAGTTCTTTGTCCCACCCTGGTCATTCCACAGACATATAAAACCCCTTTTCCTAGTTCCAACAGACTTCACTACCTCTGAGGACGCTTGCCATAGATGCAGGCGAAACGTCAGGAGAGAATGCCTCTAGAACATGGCCATATAGCCCGAAAAAACCTACAACAACTCAGTGATTCTGGCCATGAAAGCCTTGGCCTTTGGTGTATTTTTGTACATTATAATTCATAAGTTTTAGATTTAAAGGAATAGCCTATACATCAACAGTTATTTGTTATCATGTTGATTTTTGTTTATGAGAGTCCTCCAAGGACTATACCATCAACAACCCCTATTTATGACTCACAAACACAGCATTGTGGCAATCTTTTACTGAGTCTCTCCATTCATAATGCAGTCTTCCTTATTCCTATTGCCTTCCTCTTTACTAAGCTTTATCGCCTTTTCCAGTGAGTTATGTTGCCTTTTCATGCCTGCAAAGTACGCCAGCTTCCATTTGCAGTATTGACAGAACTCAGTATGTGTGCCCAAGCAAGAAATTAAGGGTTTTTAATACAAGGATGAAACTGGGAGGGATTGGCTAATTTAATATTGTCTTTCCTCCTAATCTTGTTTTTAATGACAGACAAATTAGTCATGACTATTGAAGTCATTTCAGCGAACTAACCCATTACCTTTTTAATTTAGCACAGTGTCTTTTTTTAAGTGCAGCCAAAGTTCTTATTTTAAACTTCTTGTAAACTTGTGCCAAATAGCCCTGCCACTGTTAACAGTATGCATCACAAACATTGTATTTTATCTTCTATTGAGACTATGCTATGGTGATACCGGTAAACAATTATGTTTTTGTAATTATAACTGAATTCACCAAATTCTTGAGACTACTATAAATCTACTACTCAAGCACTGTGGCATTGGACTGAAAAAAATGTTCTAATTGTTGGAATTCAATCTCACACTGCTCAAGTCTCAAGTCCTCAACGAGGGGCAGTTAGCTAGTTTAGTATATACCAGGGGTCCTCAAACTTTTTAAACAGAGGGCCAGTTCAAAGTCCCTCAAACTTTTAACTGGATTATAATTTGAAAAAAAAAACATGAATGAATTCCTATGCACACTGCACATATCTTATTTGTAGTGCAAAAAACACTTAAAAATAATAATTAAATTGAAGAACAATTTTAACAAATATAAACTTATTTGTATTTTAATGGGAAGCGTGGGTCTGCTTTTGGCTGATGAGATAGGATTGTTGTGTGCTTTCAGGTCGTTTCAGACTTAGGTTGACCTTGAGCGAGGGCTGGGTAAATGACCTTGGAGGGCCGTATCCGGCCCCTGGGACTTAGTTTGAGGACCCCTGGTATAGACTAAGGGGTTCCCTTCCCCCATGTCTCCTGTATGATTGGTTGGAAAAATATCTCTTTTTCCTCTCCTCTCTGTTTCTGCTCTCATTCTGATTGGTTGTATAAAATGGATACTTTTCTGCTGCAAGCCTTTTAAAAATCTGACTTCTGTTTTCTTACATTTGAGTATGTGTTGTGTACTTCGAG